CTGATCCTCTGTGTGCTCCTGCTTCAGCGCCCGTCTAGCAATCTCTTGGAAGGCCGCCTCGCACGAGAGCAAAACAACGCGGTTTATGTTAGGTACGGCCCCCATACAGTAAGAGTCTATAACAGGGCTACTATTAAGGGCCTTATATATCTATAGTAGGGCTACTATTAAGGGCCTTATATATCTATATTATGAATATTATCCAACTGTTACTGAGTGGGGGCCGTACCCAAGGTTTATGGTCCTTTATTTAAGGCGTCTTCATCAGGGCAACAACCCTAGTGTAAAGGGCTGCTGCTTTGGATCATCTGTTTGTGGACCTCCGGTACTTCACAAGCTTATGCTTTTGGAGAATCTCAGGGGTTCTGCAAAATTTATCCGGGTCCCTGAAGGACTTGAGTGCACCAGTGACATTAAACATCGTGGTCCTCTCAAGGAGCCCTGCTGCAGCGTCAAGGGCATTAACAACTAGAATGGGGTTTGGGGAATATGTAATAGTTAGAGTGTAACTGCTCACTTCTGTTCATCTAAACCCTAAACCCTAAACCGCATTAAAATCGTGGGGAGCCCCAAACCAGTATTGATAATCATTCAGGCTTAAATAGTCATATTATATCCTCACGGATTCTCCGAGTGCTGCTGGCCCATAGCTCCTCCAAAGTCCAGGTACTCATGAGGGGCCTCGGAAAAAATCGGGGACCCTTGGGGTGCTAGGGGGAGGGGGCTAGGGGGCCTTACGAAGTATAGTCCCCTACCCCCCCTCCCCTCCTAGGATTCATAGCAAAACGTGCGCAATCAGGAGGATCCTCCTTCCGAGACAACCTGGTCCTGATATGGGTGAGAAGGGGCCCCCACCCTGTAATAGTGGTATAATAGGAATATAATAGGGCCCTGATATAATCCTTATAGTCACTATTACAGGGTGGGGGCAGCTTCTAAGATATGGGTATCAAGGCCCCCTACCCCCCTCCCCCCTACCCCCCTAAGGGTCCTTATGATGAAGACTTCGAACACCAAACTGCCTTTCTAAAAGCCTATTCAAGTCTTCATGAAGCCCTAGACGCTCGTAAAGCCTATGTTCATTTGCAAAACTCTTATAATGCCCTCGCAGAAGCCTAGAAGCCCTTGTAAAACCCTTTCTGAGTCCTGACAAAAAATAGCCCTGCTGAGGTTTCGAGGGCCGCATGGCCCATGGGCCTCCACATTCTGGGACGTGGCGGCGCTGGTTTCGTGGTACCTGGCTCGTTGGTTCAGGATTTGGACCCTAAACTAAACCCTGAACCCTAAACCGTTAGGGTTTATCGGGGGTTTATTTTATGCCCACAAGGGTTTTTTTGGAGGATTCCAAAACCAACCCCTAAACCCTGAACTCCTATGTTAGACGGGTGTCATGCTCAACTCGGGTCTCTGAGCCGACACGCGTCTTGGAGTTATTTATGCATATGTGGGAGTTTCCGCAGATAGGGGGTCCTAATATAGAACCCTAAATAGTAGGATGCTTGATATAAGGATCCCCAATAAGGTACCCCTAGTTTTCGGAAACTCCCATATATGCAGGCCTGGATACTTAGCCCTCCTAGTTCTTGTGGTTTCTCATTCCGGTATAGGTTTCAGGATTTAGGAGATTATACCATACCCCAACACCAAGCTCGAATTGCAAAGCCCCTTCTATTATCCAGACCTTCGCTGTGAGTTTAGTTTCAGAACACTGCGGGTACTTTTCGGCCATCCTTATGCTAAGCATCCTACTACCTCGTGCATGTGTTGGCATTAACCATTAGGGTTTTTAGTTCTTTTGAAACCCCCATCCCAAGCCCCACGCCCACTCCACTTTCCAGATTCAAGGCAAAGCCGAACGCCGTGAGTGAGCAGAAATGCAACCGGTCGAACTCCTTTCTACTATCCAAACGGCCCAAAGAGAGCTGGCGATCCCGAAATCATGTCTTAACACACCTTTCGCGGTTTGTACGCCACACACGATATGCCCTGGACTTCAATTCCTAAATCCTAGTATTACCGAATGGCACAACCTACTGCTGGCAGGGCGTTTATGGTGAGCCTTATAAGGATTCAATGAGTGCTGCATGTGAATCCTATTTGGGCCGTACTCCCCCGAAGCCCGTAGCCCGTGTGAGACTTAGCCCTTAGCCATACGATCTAAAACACTACTAAATACTAGCAATATAGGGGCCTCAGTAATTAGAACCAAGTGTCGGGGCGCTACTATCCTGCCGGTAATTGAATTATTTGGGGAGGGAGCCCTAAAAAAAATGATGTTGAAATTTATCCAGGCTTCTGTACCACAACTCCGACCCTGAAATGCCCCCGGAGGAGGCACGGAATGGCATTCTTCGACTTGCACCACTGCGTCGCCCTCGCGGCTGTAACCTGGCCATCATATGGGAGTTTCCGAAAATTAGGGGTACCATATTTAGGGGTCCTTATAATAAGGATCCTACTATTTTTTAGGGTACTATATTACGGTCCCCTATTTTCGGAAACCCCCATATTGAAAATTGAGGACATCAGATACGGTTTAGGGCTGAGGGTTTACCGTGGACAATGACTTTGAGTAGAAAGGTTTAATTACAATGTTTTGCAAAAGGGTTCACTGCTTTTGTTGGGATTTACAGGGGCCTAAAGTAAAAATGTCGGAAAAGCGGTGCCGGACAAACGAACATTGTCATCGACTCCTGGCCCCTAGGTGTCGTGATGCCTATAGGTTGGGGTGTTGAGAGAGTTAGAGTTGGGTTTCAGGGCTCGGAGTTTGTGAAGTCCCACTTCGAAGCTGAAACGTTACAGGGGCATTCAATGCACAACAGTCGCCAAACGACTATAGTGACTAGTGTGGAGTGTTTGGGCCGCAGCTAGTCCTCCATGAGGATGGCTAACTACTCTAAATGGGTGTCGAGCCGACTTTTTGGCCTCCCTGCTCTATTCCACTCCTGTTAGCTCTCCCACTTGCAGTCGGCGCCGTCGGCGAGGATGTCGCTGCGGAAGAAGATGCTGGTGTGATCCCCTGCGTCTCGGCAGCCTCTTGGCTCCTCCTTTCACAGCAAGGGTCACTGCAGATGTTTACGAGGTGCCAAGCCGGCATGTGCTGGTATCTGAAACTGGAACCGCAGTGGCAAAACGGAGAAGCCTGACAAAACCAACGACAAAAGCACCAAAGAAGTCTGAGAAGCCCGCGCCAAAAGAACATGTCCTGGAGGAACCACCACCGATACGTCAAACGCGTGTGACCAAAAACAAACTCCAAATCGCAACAAGCCCTTCAAACAGGACTATCCCCGCCCCCAGAGAATCTGACTTCTAAAGGCCTACAGAACCCGAAGCATCCAAGACTTGGAAAATCCTTTTTCAATGAAAGGCCCCGTATCTGTATGAGTTTTCTTTGTAATATGGGCCATGGCAGTTAGATAAGATGGGCTCTTGAAATCATGGCATATATGGGAATTTCCGAAAATTAAAAATTAGGGGTAACAAACTTGGGGTCCTTATAGTACGGATCCTACTATTCAGGGCACTATATTAGGCTCCACTGTTTTCGGAAACTCCCAAAAAAAGGATTAGAAGGGATTACCATTGCTGACTATTCAGACCTCTGTGTAGTGAAGCTTCGTCTAAGCCCACCAAGCCCGGTCTTATTGAAGCCTTACAGAGCCCTTGAAGGAACCTTCTGAAGAAGCATATATTTCTCAAACCCTATGAACCCTAAAGACTACAAAACGCTGTAGAACCCGAACAAATCCCTGTTCTTCTCACGTTGCGCAAACTACAAAACCCTTTAGTAATATCCTCTTACATCCCCAGGCTTCTTCCTAACGTTCAAACAGCGCTGGGTCGACCTTCCGCTTGCTTTCGAGGTCGGCCTGCACGTGTCGTTGCAGCCACGGCTTCATGTTTGAGGCCTTGGTGTTGAGATCTAGAATTTAGGATCAAGGGCTTACAATTCAGAGAGGCTTGCAGTTGAGGGTGCTTCGGTTTGGCTCGAGACCATCTAGGGTTCTCGGGGGAGGATGGGCGGGTGGGCATACAGGGGAGGGGGGGGGAGTTCGGGGTTTGGTTTACGAGGGGCGGGGCGGGCAGTTCACAGTGAACGAGTCGGGGAGAACTGCCAAACAAGATTCACTTGAACATCGCATAAAACCGTTATACACCCCATAAAGCCCAGTATAACCCTGTAACACACTACAATAGAAACAAGGAAGCTCCGCAACCCTTCAGAAGCCACTTCCAGGGCCTTGTTGCCAAGCACAACAAAGGGGAAGTTGTCCGGATCGCCTGGGCAGCCAGGAAGGTTCTTGAGTTCCGCTGGCTTGCTTGACAGGGTAGGGGTCTTTAGAATCACAATTGGGGCTAATTGGGGGGGGGTTGAGGAGCTATGTGTAGGGCTTAGGGTTTAGGGCTATGTATATATATATATATATAGTTATATATATATATATATGTATATATATATATATATATACATGTTGTCACTGCCACTCCCGCGTTCTGTTTTCACACCCTGCCGGCAACAAGTTGAGGTTCTCTGGCCCAAAGGCGAGCAGGGCCATCAGAATCCAAGAAGGAATCAGCATCATCGCGGATGAGAAAAACTAGACAGCCGCGATGAAGCGAAAGCTGATGCCTAAGGAAACTTCCGGGCGGGGGGGCGGGCCGAAGTGACTGCCGCTTCGTTTTGAGAAAACATGCTTTGCATGTTGTCACTGCCACTCCCGCGTTCTGTTTTCACACCCTGCCGGCAACAAGTTGAGGTTCTCTGGCCCAAAGGCGAGCAGGGCCATCAGAATCCAAGAAGGAATCAGCATCATCGCGGATGAGAAAAACTAGACAGCCGCGATGAAGCGAAAGCTGATGCCTAAGGAAACTTCCACCTTCACTCAGCTGCCGCTGCTGGCTTCGGAAAGACAACAGGTGCTGCCATCATGGCCGGACGGCCCCAGCGGGCAGAAAAACAGAACTCCTGCAAAAGCGAAAGACGCGCGAGGTCACAGTCAAAGACTGCGCAAAGTAGGCTCGTACAAGGCACTGGCAGCTCTCACGGACTGCCGCGCTTCGGGGCTGAGCTGCACGTAGACACTGTCGGCACCCACCTCTTGCAGATAGCGCTCCAGCGTGCTGACACTGCGAAGTCGCATACGCCACAGAAGGTTGGAGATGTCAACAGCTCGCCGGTACTCACGCACCACACCGCCAGCCCTCAAAGACGCCGGAGTCAGATGTACACGAGCTGGGATTTTCAGGACACGAAGCAAGGCATCCCACCGCCGGCGGTAGGAAGCGGGGCTGCCAGGGTACAACGGCTGGCGCATCGGCAAAGAACCAAAAACAGCTTGGCACAGCCGAACACCGTCAGGGTCTTGGACCTTAGCATGCTGCACGCGCCCACCGCCGCGCCGCCGGGTTTTCGGCGAGCGAATGGTCAGGAAGACACTGTCAATGCACTCGCCAAGCAGGTCTATAGGAAGAAGAACATCCTCACGGGATGCCTTCAAGGCCTCACCAGGCCTGCACATTCCGAAAAACGCCAGGGCGGTACAGGCCGCCCAGCGCCGCCAGTTCCAGGCCAAACTCAAGGCGATCATTGCTTGAAAGATGCCGAATGGAAGGGGCGTGCGATGAACCGCCGGCTCGCAAAGCTCCCAGCGACTGACAGTTTGCCAAGCTCGCCCGAAGTGCGCACGCAAACTTGGCCGCTCCCGTTGCAAATATGTGATCAGCTGCTTGAACATGTACAGCGACTGCAAAGTGTCGAACATGTGAACTCCAAACAGGCGAACCAACTCTGCCAGCGTCTCTGGACACTGTAAGAGTGCCTGGGCTGCATCACCAGACAATCGCCCCGAAACCCACTCCAAGAAAGCTGTATGGACTCGCTGTCCTAGCTGAGCTGTAGCGGGTTCGACTAGAAGCACTTCGTCCAGCGACATCCCACTGCGGTAGCTCAAGTCTCGTCCGCGGGCAGGCCCAGGATTTTTGGCCTCGCCAATCCGCCCGTGGCTCTGCCGCGCAAGGCTAGCCGCAGAAAAGGGGCGACGCTGCACACAGCGAGAATCGATAAGCATCGCTTGAGCGACCCACCAGCACAGCCTTCTGGGGTACTCTTGAGCTGCCAGAGTCCAGCAGCACCTCGAAGACTTAGAATAGCCAGTGAGCACCTTATGCTGGTGGTCGCGGTTGCAGAACAAGCTGAAACCTGCGAGATGCAGATTCGTAAAGAAACGGGTACGCTTCCTCCAGGGTGTCCGTAGTCTGCAATAGTCTAGTCGAAAACAATTGGCCGGATCAGAAGGTTGGTAGATGGCGAGGTCCGGCATCCGCCAAAGAAAACTGTCGTACGGACCTTCTATCCAGTAGCAAAGCCGAAGCCTAGTTGCCACAGCCAGAATTCTTCCAAGAAAAAGGGAATGCTGGTTTCCAGCTGCAACCCGCCTCTGCGCTTCGGCTCCCAGATTAGGCTTTCCTTCTGGATGCTCCGCATTCCGCCATGACGGTCTTATAGCACGAGAGAAACTGCCACACACCATACCAGCACCGAAGCCCCTGAACACACCCGACTCCAAAAGAAAAAGAATTTGTTCCTGAAGCGCAGGTTGCAGCAGGTCCTGAGCGGGGTCGTACCTGTTGTCAAAGCAGAGAACCCAGCAAGGACCACTTTGCGCCATCGCGCAAGGGATCCCGCGCTTCCCAGAGTACAGGTCCAGGAAACCAGGATACTGCTGAAGGACGTCAGGAAGTGAGCCCAGTTGCGGGTTCCAGACGAACTGTTCTGGACTGAAGTTCGCAAGCATTGCCATGGCTGTCGAAGCTACCTGTTGATTGCCAAGACTAGGGGAGCCCGGACGGTGGCCCAGTGAATGCATGTGGCCCAGTGGGTGCGTGGCCTGCCCCGGTTTGGGGTGCCCAAACCGGGTGGCGATGGTTGCCAGGTCCTGGCTGTTTCGCTTCTTGCTGGGGTTCTTGGGTCCTCCTCCCTGGCTGTTTTGCTTCTTGCTGGGGTTCTTGGGTCCTCCTCCCTGGCTGTTTTGCTTCTTGCTGGGGTTCTTGGGTCCTCCTCCCTGGCTGTTTTGCTTCTTGCCTGGGTCCTCGTCCCTGGCTGGTTCATATGACTTTCCGGGTTCTTGGGTCCTCGTCCCTGGCTGTTTGACACTGCGGGGTCCTTGGGTCCTCCTCCCTGGCTGTTGTGTATACTTTCCGGGTCCTTGGCCTCGTCCCTGGCTGTTTGTTGTTCTTTTTGTCCACAGACTCAGACTCACACTCTACCGAAAACGCTACACGGGGTCTAGGAGCCTTCCTAAGGAAACGCTTTCTAGGTGGTGGCCCAGCTTCAGCCCACAGCTCGGACAGCGGCGGAAGCCCGGAAACACTGTAGGGGTCCGCCTCGTAGCTCCGCAGCCAGGTGTCGAAGTCGCTCAAGTCCGGCAACGTAGTGAACCAAGAAGGCCTGTCGAGGAACGGAGCTGGGACATCTGAGTTGCGGCTAGGTCCATCTGAACTGTTGAACTCCGAAGGAATGTAGCCCGCATTGCTTTGCATGTTGCAGCCCAAATGCGTGGCTAAGCTCTGCTGTAATTCTCCATTGAGGCTGCGAGAGGCAGCCCGTCCTTTCGTCCACGCTCCCAGAGCGACCTGAGAGTCTGCTAGAGAGAAAACTCTCCGCCGGAACCCTTCTCGAGCAGCGATCTCCTCAGTTTTGACTAGCCCTCTGAGCTCCAGGATGTTGATGTGGGTGTCGCGGCAGACCTTTTTGCGATAGACTTCTGTGTACTTTAACCCTCCCGCCAAAACAAGCCAAAGTGGATGTCCCGGCAGCTGCTGGTTTCCAGGCAGCTCTTCAGCTGCGGGTAGGACGCCTTTTAGACGCTGAAGGCGACGCAGGGGTGTAAGGAGCTTGGTCCATACCGGCTTTCGAAGCCGATGCCGATGGACCTCGGCTTCCAATCCTGCAGGTAGCATCGTTTTCGTGATGCCGATCCCCCACTCTGAAGCATCGGAACAATAGACAAACGGTGAATTCTCACTTCGCAGGTCTGTGGCAGCAAGAGGGCCCAAGCTCACGATCATCTGCAGCTCATCCCGCATCTCATCGCTTAACTTTACTACGTCTTTTCGTCGAAGACCGCGTTGCAGGGGTTCATATACCACAGAAAACAAACTCAAAAGTCTCCGTCTGAAAAGGAAAATTGACGTCCAGGAGCCTACCAAAATCTCCAACAATGCCAAGCTTGTGACTCCCATCTTCACTACAGCAGCTGTTATAGCAAAGATCGGCAAAGCGCGGCAGAGGTTGGCTCTGACGAGCCCTGCTTCTCCATCCACGCTGGCACCCCAGAACTCTCCATGGAGCTGATCCTTGAAGGTCTTTTTCTCGTGAGGTGTCAGCCCGGCTGCGACGTAACGCTCAACCATCGATTCGATTGTCCGTCCGCCTTCAAGAGAGGTGCCTGACTCGAATGTTTGCTTGGCTACAATCTCCAGAGCCACTAGATCGTCGATGACTACGCCCAGCATGCTAGGTTGTCGGGGGCAGCAAAGGTTCATCGCAAGCAAATTCTCCTCGCGCAACAGTCCGCTCTGCACTAACAGGGCTACATGCGCCGTTTGTGCGATTTCGACAGCACATGTGTCACCCATAGCCAGCGTAGCCAAGCTGGCGTAGACGTGGGTTTCTTCCCTGAAGTCGGCAGCCCTGAAAGATCGGAACTTGGATGCTTCAGCTAGGCTAAGTGGTCCTACAAGGGCATTACGAATCTTACGTTGGTCACTACTACAACGAAAGAGTAATAAAAATCCCTTAAATCGGTGCCAGAAGAGACGAGGACGTGCCCTGCAGGAAGCTGGATGTCGAGAAGGCTGGCTGCAGTCGCGGTACTGGCAATCCATCGTCCAGGCGGATTTTCAAGAGTGTTGAAGGGACGTGAATCGAATATCAACCGATCTGAGCTCAGATCCTTGGTGACCAGCTTGGTAGCCTTGCAGCACTTCGCTGTTGCCCACAAAGCCTAACCGGTTGCTCGCGTCAAGCAGATGCAGGAGTCGGTCACGTTCCCCTCGGCTCGCATGCACTTTTACTTTCGGCGGGTCACCGCCGGTCCCAGGGGGCATAGCCATATCCAGAGGTCGGTTGAAGATGGCCTCTCCTGTACGATCAAGGTACGGAGTAGGGTCGAAGCTCGGCGCTCCGCGAAACTTGAGGCGATCTGCGACGATTGCCTTTGCCGCCATCAACTGTCCAGACCCGCTCGTCTGGCCAACTACATCTCCTCCGAAGGCATGCCGAAGTCCAGCGCGAAGGTCTCGGAACGCCGGCGCTTTCCCATATCCTCGTCCAGGGTGGGAAGAAGAGCTACTCTCGAAGACCAGGTCAGAACTTTCAGACTCAGTGCTCAAACCAGTCAGGAAGAAGACTGCTTGCTCTAGTGCTTCGATCTTGGATGCCGTACGACCCATGTCAACTGCTCTCACGGTCTTTGACTTCCACGAAAAACTCAGCCGCTCAAGTTCACGAACAGCTCGCCACTGCATTTTTGACAACTTAGTGCCAAGGCGTATGCAGGCAGGAGCTACCGGAGGCCGGCGCAGGAACAACCAGTTGAGACTTGCAACCATCATGTTCACCGCCCTTTTGAAACTGAAATCTTCCAGCTCGTGGCCTCCAGCTTCGCGAAACCAGACTGCCGGATACGGCACGGGCATAGGCCAAGGTTTTCCGGTGGTGTTGCTACTTTCAGCAGGGTTCGCAGGAAGATGGAGAACTTCGTTCCACCTTTCAGCGCGATGCGAAGAAATGAATTCCACCAAGAGCTGGCTTCCACTGTGCTAGCTGACGCTCCTGGTGCCTTGGCATGCAAGGCCGGCTCGTGATCCTCACGCCCAGCCTGGGGAAGGTCATCCGGACCCCCCCGGTTCATAGAGTTCAATTGTCGGCTGCTCCGGTGGAAATTCCCTTTCCACCACCCTTCTCCTTTCCCTTTCCTCCTTTCGGCGGCTTCGCCGGTTTGTCCGGCTGGCTTTGGGTCTCCTCGGTCGTCGCTGACTTCGGTCTCACTAGCCGGTTCCGGCGCTCTGTGTACTCCTCCACCTCTTTCACCTTCTGCACGAAAGCTTCTATCCACCTCGCATCGAGCAGCTTGGTAAACTGGCTCTCGTTCGGAGCAGGCAACAGATGCCGGCCGAAAGAGCTGAACGGCGGGGCAGTCGCCTCTAGACTCGCCTCGTGGGCGATGAGCCACTGGCCGTGATCGTGGGCCACCTGGTCGATCTGGGCGATCATAAGCGCGAGGCGCGCTTTGGCTTCCGCCACTTTGCCGGCCTCGAGCGCATCTAACGCTCCGCCTGCGGCCCAGGCCATCCGAACTGAACCCTGAATGTTCGGGATCCGGCTTCGGTGCTCGAGCCATCCGCGGAAGGACCCGGCTCCCTCGGCTTCGCCAGGCCCTCCCACTCGGCTGTGGAAGTCTTCCAACATGTTGGCGCGAATACTCTGATAGATCTGCTCCGGGTTTTCCACGAGGGCCTTCCGGAGCGCCTTGAGGATCGCGGAATGTTTCCGAGACCCTGAGCTGCTGCTTGAAACATCCCCTATGCCCCCGGTCTCGTCTAAGAGCTCCTCGAGCGTGGCCTTCTTCGTCTTGGACTTGGAAAGGAGACCCACGATATCGGTGAGCTTGATCAGCGCTTTCTCCATCGATCCCCCTGGCTCCTTTGCAGATCCAGGCTCGTCTTGGTCTTCGGCATCCTCCAGCTCCAGCTCCTCCCTCGGATGATCGCCAAGCGCGGGGCTTTTCTTCCGCACCAGTGTGGCCATCTGGGATAGATGGGTCTCGGGTATGCCTGCCAATCGAGCTGATTGCACCACTCCGGGGTCCAATCCGCGAAGATCGAGGCCGGATGGCGCCGCCTCCTTCGGGATGCTGTGCTCCTTGGGAAGAGTAGCAGACGGAACAGCCGCTGGAGTGGGTTTCGCCACCAACTGCTTGAGGCTGGCCTGGATGAGGGCCATGCCATCTTCGAGCTTCCGCAATCGTTCCTCGCTGGCAGACTCCTGTGAGACCGCACTGCAAAAGGAGAACTTCTCGTCCGCGACCACCACAAGGGCATCGGCGAAAGGGAGGCATGCCTCTCCTCCACCGTCCTGCTCGAAGCGGAGTAGCACGTCAGACTCTGCCGGAGTTTCAAAGGTAACTCTGTCCTCCAGCTCCGGCTTCAAATAGCCGACCCAGATCTTCACGGAACTTCCGTCGGAGGCCTCCTGGCGTAAAGCCGGCGAAGAACCAGTGACCGCAAGGGCCACGCCTTTGATCAGAGTTCCAGGGGGAAGCTTGCGCCTGGACGGTTGCCTATGCCAAGCCGACAAAGGAAAGGCAACGAGCAGCCGATTCTGAACTTCACTGATGAAAATAATCTGTACCAAAATTGTTTGGTCACCCTCCTGCTCCACAGTAAGGCAACCAATAGGATAATCATAATACGTTGTATCACCACTCCCGGTGTATAACACAGCCTCCCTAGCCGAGGAAGGCCAAGGGTCGCCGTCGACCCCTTCTTCTGCTGGTTCGCTCATCGAGTAGCCGTAGAAGGCCACTGCACCCCGGCGCTTCGACACACCAGCTGCCCGTCCGATTGGTTGGGCAGCCCGAGGTATACCGAGGCACCTGAGTCCTGGCGCCGCTTCACAAGGGGCTCCAGATCACGCCACCGGACGAAAAGACCGGCAGGGTTGTAGATCTTGCCCTCAAAGTCCTTGAAGAGCAAATAGATGCGGGACTGTTCAGGAAGTTGTTCCCGTCCAGAAAGTCCCCTGCCAAGCCCCTGAACTCGCTCCTTAACCCAAGTGCCCACTCCCACCAAGATCTTCTCGCGATCGGTAAGTGCAGGAAAAACAGGCTCAATTGTCGAAGTAGCAGGAGCACAGGATCCACTGGCAACCTCGGAGACAACCTCGAACTCCTTTAACTGTTCCAGCTCTAATTCAAGTGTTCGCACTCTAGCCGAAAGATCCGCAACCAGCAGCTTCAGGCTCCTCACCTCAGCAGCTAGATCGGGTTCACAGCTTGGCATCCACCTGGTCACAGCTCTCGGTACAGCTGACGGTTGGCCGGCAACCCAAGGAGCGATCTCAGTTGCCGCCGGAGCCAATACGACCACAAAGCACGTAGCTCAAGAACAAGCTCAGCTAGAGGGCCAATGGACAACCCTATCAATATGCCCGCGATCAGAGAAGGTACGTGAATGTCAGACAGGGAGGAGCTGGGTTCGAAAGAGCCCCACTCACTTATGTGATTTCTCGGCACTAGCTCCTCTAACCCTGGTCCTGATCCGCGGCGAGCCACTTCCAAGAGGGCTTGCAGCACAACACCAGTAAGCCCGCCAGCAGCTCCAACTGCTAGGGGGCGACCGGCCATGCAAGCTACCCAGCTTGATCCGAAGTGACTGCCGCTTCGTTTTGAGAAAACATGCTTTGCATGTATATATATATATATATACATACATACATACATACATACATACAGGCACATATGTTCCAGATATGACCCGAAACCCGAAACCCCAGGGGTTAGGATTTTAATTTCTTGAGAAGTAGCTTCAAGGCTTGACACTCGAAGGATGCTCAGAGCATGCCAGCAAGGTTTTATCAGGGTGTCGCACAGCTTTTGGCGGCCACGAATTTGCGGCGAGCCTTGGCTTGGAAGGCCTCTGTCTCGCAGGTGGGGCTGGAATCGCATTGGGATGCGATTTCCGCCCATTCTTCTTCCTGAGTGCTTGAGCTCAATTTCTCCAGCAATGAAAATAATTCTCGGCTTTGGTCCACTTGTTGTAGTCGACAAAGATCTCCTGATCAAAGGGCCCTGGAGTTATCTATAAGGGCTTAGAGTTTGGTACGGAGGCTACTATGGGGGGTTTGATATGGGTGTTATAAGCTTCCATGAGGGGCTGTACATGAAGCTTTTTCATATTGGAGTCTCTCTGTCCCACAGCTTCGGATGAAAAGACCGAAAGAGCCCGCTACCCCCCAAGTTAGCAAATTTCCCATGTCCCTGAAACCATCGTGTGGAAAGCCGCAGCCTCATCATATAGAGACCTTTATAGTTAGAATAGGGTTTGGGGGCCATTATACCATAATCATAATAAGGAACCCCAAAATAGTATTGGTAGTTCTTTCGGCCCCCATACTAAATCCTTCTAATAGCCCTTCTAGTAGCCCTTATAGACCCCTGTAAAGGAACCCTATTCCAATTATTTCGGCTCCCTTATTCTCCTACCCTTATAGTAACCCCTATAAGCCCTTTATAAGAGCCCTTTAAAGGAACCCTAAACCCTGCTACCCTTATTGTAACCCCTCTGGGCCCTTTATAAGAGCCCTTTCACCCTAAACCCTCCTACCCTTATAATAGCCCTTCTAAGCCCTTTATAAGAGCCCTTTAAAGGAACCCTAAACCCTCAAATCCTTATAGTAACCCTTATAAGCCCGCTGCCCTTTATAAAGGAACCCTAAACCCTAAACCCTTATAGTAACCCTTATAGGCCCTTTATAAGGGCCCTTTAAAGGAACCCGAAACTCAAACTTGGCAAGTAATCTCCAAGTTTCCCTGAAACCTCCAGAGCCTGGACTTTTTCTGGCAGCAACGACGCCTTCCTTAAAGGAAACCCCATAAAGCCCTTAAAGGAGCCCTCAACGGAAACCCCATAGATCCCTTATGGGGTTTAGAACCGAGGGTTTAGTTTAGGGAATTGGGGTTAAGATGGTTTAAGGTATAGGGTTTAGGTTTCGGTATGGGGTTTAGGGCCGAGGGTTTAGTGATTAAGGCTTAACGTATAGGGTTTAGGGGTTTCAGGGTATGGGCGCTGCATAAATACTTCCAAACAGGACAGCCTTAAACTATCAGGCCCAAAGCCCACATCCGAGTGATGACGGGTGTAGGGTTTAGTGTTTGTGAAGACCGCACCCCTGAAGCCCACATCCCAACCCCCGATAATGTAAATCCTACATCCTGAGATGCTTAGAGCTCTGAGCACTGAGTAATATACGAACATTCCCATATGCTTCCCGAGTAGTTAGTTTTACTAGACCCCCGAAGTCCACTCTAAGATCCTACACCCAAATCCCAAAAAGCCTTAATTAACCGTGACCACACTCTTAACCTCCCGTCTGCCGCCGGCTGGCGCGGGCTGGCCTGCACAGCAGATTAGGCATGAAAGCGGGGACTTAATAATTATAAAACAGGGTATTGGGGTCCATGAAGCTAAAAGTAGAAAAAGGAACCTCCAGAACAGTATACACATATGACAGGCTTAGAATTCAGGAGTTCAGGGCTTTGGAATATGTAACTCAGGCGACCAAGGATTTCTAAGAGGGTCACTAGCTTTGGGTTTGGGATTTCAGAGCGAGGCTGTATGTCTACAATTTAAGGATACTTGGAGGGTCGGGGGACTTAGCAACAAGTTATTTTAGGGACTTATAAGTACCATAACGCCAATTAGGGTCCCTTTTAGGGTACTTATAAGTCTACTTACTACCTACTTACTAAGTCCCCCGACCCCTCCAAGTAGGATTTTGGGCTTTACCACATGTGCTCATTAAAGCCTACAAACATCTAAGCAATGAACTCCTACTGCAAGGTTTCAACCCCTGAACCCTTCCCTCTCACTTCCCCAATCAAACCACCCAAACGAAACCTCGAGACAACACCGCCGTCAAACCCATAGATACATCACTAACTAGGTCCCCAGAATCCCTAAACTCCTCCTCACATAGTGACCCAATAGCACCGTTACATGCCCTGTAGTACCAGCTAAACAGCCATTCCGTGAAGACCCAACGACACCCTAGAAACCCTGGGTCTAACAAGCTGTAAAGGCCTGCAAAAGCCAACAGAACCCCGACGGGACCCCAAACCCTAAATCCTTGAAGGAACCTGGTTTCCGAGCATAGGGGACCCTGATCTACTAGTACCCTCAACAGTAGGATCCTTATTATAATGATCCCAACAAAGGTACCCCTGATTTTCAGAAACTCGAGTTCTCGGGTTCTTAGCCCTAAACCCCTAAACCCTAAACCCTTAACCCTAAACCCTAAACCCTAAGCCCTAAACCCTAAACCCTAAGCCCTAAACCCTAAACCCTAAACCCTAAACCCTAAACCCTAAGCTCGCCTGGATAAGAAATTCGTCTCGCCAGACCTCGAGGGACTCGAAGGTTTTCGGCACCTCAAAGTGTAGGGTCTGGTACCCAGACCTTCCAAAATCCCTTAATTAAGGAATAGACCTTAATTCATATTTGGGATCCTATTATAATTTAAGGTATATTCCTTAACTAGGGATTTTGGAAGGTCTGGTAAGTGGGATACTATGGTGCTTTTCCTGCGGCTGAAGGTGTCGGCAATTGTGGCTGCGAGGGCTTAGGGTCTTTGCTAACGGTGCTTATGGGGCTTTAACTGGCTTTGAAAGGCTGTTAGGATTTGATTAACCCTAAACCCTAAACCCTAAACCCGATTTTGAGTGTTGAAGGCTGCTCTGCTCAAGCGTGCCAGAAGCGGAGGAATGTATCTCTTGCGTTGGGAGCTTCAAACTTTTTGAGATTTCGGGTTCAGGTTTTGGGCTTTAGGAGTTCGTCTCAACGTTCGTGGTTTAGGACTCTGGGTTGGTTTTAAAAGGTTTGATAGACTTCTGGCAAGGCTTGTCAAGCTTTTGGAAGTGTTGCTGAGCTCGTATAGGCTTTTGGCTTCTGGCTCAGGGTTTGGAGGGTTTCGGATTTAGGCTTTCAGGTTTTTGGGTCTGGCACTTGGGGTGTGAAATTTGAGAGCGTATTAGGGTTGCGGAGATTTGCGGGTGGAGCATTTATGCTTCACTGCTATCTGCGACATTACTTGCGTGTCGTACCATGACAGCACAGGTGACTCTCGATGCAATGGCCGATCAGAATATCACATTACACTGCATCACGTTGCACTACACTGCAAAACCCTAAACAATTATACTTATACTATCATGGAGGGGTCCTTATTATAATTATATAGTATATTGTACCCCAAAACCCTATTCTGATTATTAAGGCCCCTACTTGGAGGATCATGGGACTTAGTAAGTAAGGTTATAAGTACGTTAATTGGGGTTATAAGTATAGTTACCCTAATTATAGCCCTAGTTACTAAGTCCCATGATCCTTTAAGTATTTCCGATATAGAACCCTGTTATTATAGAACCCTATTATTATGGATCTCTTGTAGACCTCTTTAGGGGTCCCTTTAAAGGGGTTCCCCTATATTACATTCCATCCCCATCCCCAGTCGGTCCGAGGCCGTCAGGTCGTGGACCAGCACGCAGCAGTCTGCCCCGCGATAGAATGCCACACCTGCGCTCTTTCAGCTCCGGGGGGCGGTTTAGGGTTTAGGGTTTAGGGTTTAGGGTTTAGGGTTCTACAGAACCCCAGTCATTCCTGGTCTAATTAGTCATAGGGCCCCTCTAGTAATAGTAAGCGCTTTATGCGCAGTTCTCAGAGTCACCCTGCCACTGTGCTTCAGGTGCCAAGAACAAGATAGGAGCCTTAATGAGCGCTAATAGCTACATTGGAGTTTCCGACTTTGTAACAGGATTGTGTAGAGCTTTATAGGCTTTGATGCTTAGTAGGATGTTGATGCATAGCATGGTACAACCTCCGGTATGGGGGCTGCACTACAAGAGAACAAGCCTTTCATGCCGTTTTCATTACACCCAAATACAAGCCCTCAAACCCAGAGCAATCAAACCAGTCCTGATACACCCAACATCAAAAAACTAAACCCTTCCAACGCCGAAACGCCGAAATCCAAAACCCGAATTCAACCGTAAACCCACAAAAGCCCTCTAAAGCCTTCATAATTAAAGGATCATGGGACTTAGTAACTAGGGTTATAATTAGGGTAACTATACTTATAACCCCAATTAAAGTAGTTATAACCTTACTTACTAAGTCCCATGATCCTCCAAGTACGACCACGGGAGCCCTCTTTAAGAAACAAGACAGGAGGCCCCCTTCCCAGGCCTAAGGATTGAAATCGCTCCTGCCCCGCAGTGTCCCAGATCTGCGGCAGGGTGATTTTGGGTTTCAGGGCATGCTGGATTCCACGGGGGGGGATTTCGGGGTATGGCTTTGGGGCGTATAGGGCTGACGGTTCAGGATTAACAGTTTATACAGGGGGGTTTAGGGGTCTCTCGAGATCGTGGGGCTCACTAGGGGAGTCTACGACTCTGTTTGTAACTCTGCTTGCTGAGTCTCCTCCAGGCCACTAAGGACTTAATATAGGGGCCTTAATAATTAGAATAGGGTTTTGGGGCCCATTATACCGTACTCTAATTATCATAAGGAAGTGGCTGAGAGGGGCCGGCTTTCGGGTTGCATGTCTTTTTCTTCGGGATCACACAAGCGGCTCAGGCTTCTGTACGCCGAACTCGCTGGCACCATATACATCAGCACCGCGAGCTCCTGTGCGCCGAACTCGCTGCCACGCTACCCCGCTAGGCATCATCGAACATCGCCGTGAGCTCCCGGTCAAGGTGCTGGAGCGTCGCATCGAAATCCGTGAGCGGATTGCCCTGAATCACCTTTACCCTCACAAAGGCCCGGGCTTTTCGAGGACCTTGGTTCCTCTGGACCCGGCGCGCTCTCACCATGATTCGCCTCTGATGGTCCTGCGCGACCCCCGAATTAGTATAGGCAATTATTAAAACCCCTAGGGCCTTAATAATTAGAATAGGGTTTTGGGGCCCATTATACTGTACTGTAATTATCATAAGGAACCCCCCAAATTAGTATAGGCAATTATTAAGACCCCTATCTTAGGATTTAGGGCTTCGGGGCCCTGCGAGTCAGCCTCGAGGGACTTGGGCCCCTAAGGACAGAGCGCAGTCTTAGGGTTTAGGGTTTCGGGTGTTGGGGGTTTAGGGTTTAGGGTTTAGGATTTCGGGTTTCGGGGTTTAGGGTTTAGGGGCTTTTGTTTCCTTAGGGTTTAGGGGTTTAGGGTTTAGGGTTTCGGGTTTCGGGGGTTTAGGGTTTAGGGGCTTTTGTTTCCTTAGGGTTTAGGGGTTTAGGGTTTAGGGTTTAGGGTTTCGGGTGTTGGGGGTTTAGGGTTTAGGGGCTTTTGTTTCCAGCAACTCGCTTTGAGTTTGACGTGTAGGGTTCAGTGTTTGGGGTTTAGGGCTTATAGGGTTTAAGGAATGCGAAAACCTGATGCCAAGAAAGCGCCGGTTGGTTCGTTCTGCACGCGGGAACGAAACGGTCTCAATAGCACGTTTTGCAAGCAAAACTGCACACAACTACTGTGGGGACGTCCATCAGCAGGCCTCTTCGACAAGTGGAAGCAAAATGCTTTCAACATGGCATCAGTGGCTGAAAAGGTCCAGATTGCGGTTTGAATACGCTTTGCAGGTTGAGGTTTGTCCAAGCTGCTGTGCAATCCTGCAGTTTAGGAATTTGTATGGGAGGCCATCCAGTCTGCGCTTTGCCAGCGTGAGCCCTTATATGTACAACATAAACTCTTTACACTAGACAGTACAGTATGGGCAGGGCCCAGGGATGCCAGGAGGCTCAATAGGCTTTAACTTATTCGAGCATCTCGGTCAAATGCATTGGGTGGGCGAAACGTCTAGGCTTTGCTTGAATCACCGCCAAGACTCATGACACTACAGCCTAGACCATACTTAAACCGTAAACCTTAAACCCTAAACCCTAAACCACTAAACCCCTAAACCCCTAAACCCTAAACCCTAAACCCTGAACCCTAAACCCTGAACCCTGAACCCTAAACCCTGAACCCTAAACCCTAAACCCTGAAGCCTGCATCGTCACCAACTTGTCATCGATCATGACCTCCTTAGTCAGAAAGTCGGCGCCAATCGTAGCCTTGCCGGATTTAAAGTCAACTGGAAGCACTCTCAAAAATGGCAGCCTAGCAATGCTTATGGCGCTATGGTATGGTGACAGCGGGCACCTGGGCATGCGGGATGCTTCGGATTGGGCATCGGTTTCGGGACTAGACATCCTTCCTAGGACTCCTTGGAGTAGCTCCGCTGCTTCTAGTAAGGATCCTCCGGCAAGAAATTCCAACTAAAGTCCCTGCTAAGCCTTGATGCTCCGCCTTGTACTGGTTGGTGAACTTCTTGTTGACATACTGGTTCATCAAAGACGTCTTGCCCACCCTGCCATGCAAGGTGCAGTCAGAGGGGCCATGCAAGGCAGGCTCCTTCATCATGTCGGCAAATGCATCCTCAACCGCGAAAGCTACAAGCAATAATTAAGCTTCAGCCGGGAATTCCCATCAGTAACACCAACTTTTTCACAGTTCTCTCTCCGCAGGAGTCTCTGAAGCTTCCTACAATGGATGGACGGCTGTGCATCGAAAACCAAGCCCCGCAACGCCTGCTCTTTCTGAGCTGAGTCCGTGCCTGGCTCGCGAAGATCCCAAAAAATCGCCTCTCGATCCCTTTGAGTCGTGAAACCCTCAACCCTCGAACCCTCAAACCCTCAAACGCTAAACCATCAGAAAAGCGCCCACGATCCGGGGCTTGAGCTCGACACAACCTTCGTTTCCCCCCCGGAAGCAAGCACTAAGCCGGCGCACCCGCTGTCACCCAGGATGATGACCTTCAGCAACACCTGGGCTGAATAGTTACTTAAAGGATCATGGGACTTAGTAACTAAGGTTATAACTGTACTTATAACCTCAATTAAGGTACTTATAACCTTACTTACTAAGTCCCATGATCCTCCAAGTACCTTACTAGATGATTGGGGAAATTCTGAAACAATGTCTTGGGGAAGTTCAAGAACAATGTCAAAAGCGAACCCACATTACCTTGAACCCTAAACACCAAACCCTCCCAAAAAAACTGCCACCCAGGCGCCTTCTTTTTGGCAGACATCACCTGCACCCAGCCGACAAGGGGGCCACGAGTTCAACTCGAGGTCCTACCTGAACCCCAAAACGCCAATCATTCAACGCCAAACCCTACCTGGACCCTAAGAAACCTACCTTTTCAGGATTCCTTAATATGATTTCCTTATGTAAGTCCTTGAAAAGGTAGATTACTTGGGGCTAAGGTAATCCCTAAACCCCAAACCCTCAACCGGGGCTTGACAGGCAGACTCAAGCTCGTGAGGGACTGTGGGCTCGAGAATCCTCAAAGCCCGACACCCCTGAGATCCACAAGGGATCTTACCGTAACAGAAACCCCTTGACTCCAATAACCCTAAACCCTAAACACCAAAATGGAACCCTAAACCCTAAAGACCGAAATGGATCGGGGGAACTCTCGGCCCGGGGGCGATTTGTTTGTGCTTTTCCCTGATTGAATAAACGCCATCAGGAGGGCTCGGGATTAGCATCATGCTTAACATGCAAACTGAGTGTACGGTAGAACCCGAAACCCTAAACCCCTGAACCCTAAACCCTAAACCCCTGAACCCTGAACCGTAAATTCATTTGGGTCTCGGTCGTGCGGATGCCGACCGCAAGCCAGCCTGTGGCCTCAAGATCAGCCACCTCATCAAAGAAGCTAGTTCTCTAAATACTAAACATAATAAGGACTCCCAAAATGTTCTTAATTGAAATAGTTGAAGCCCCTATAGTATAGCAATTCGCTAAGTTAGGGTCCCTTGTACGGCTTCTAGGGCTCAGGGTTTGGGGGTTTAGGGGTTTGGGGTTTTGAGGTTTTGGGTTTGGGCTTGCCAGGGTGCCGTACTATTTTCGGGGACCTTCAACGGGACCCCCAATTTAGAGAACCACCCAATGCCAGAAAGCCTTGAAACCTTGCGCCTCAAATCTTTACTCTTCCCAGAACTATACTGAACTTGGAACCCTAGCAAAAAACTATAGTTTCAGCTGTTTCTTAGGGATTATAATAACCAAAACTTAAAAATTATTTGTAAGTACCCCTAAGAGAAGCCCCCCACGGCCCCAAAACCACTGGAATCATCCGCTTCGCAGACAGTCCCACCCAATTAATTCGTCCCAAACCCTCAGTGTTCCCCAAACCCAAGCCCCAGGCCCCAGTAAAGCCAAAATGTAAAGGCCAAAGCAAAGAGAGCTCGTAGAAGCTGATTCCGCAACCACGAAACTCCAATCCTTGCAGGGCCCTAAACCGTAAACCCTGAACCATAAACCCTAAACCCCGAAGGACCTCGATCCTTGTGGGGGGAGTGGACGCAGTCTCTCCCTATGGCTTTCCACGTGACTCTGAGAAAAGATCGCGGCGCCGGAATGCATTTGGGGTCGTTTTGTCTTGGGCATTAAGAATCGTTTAGGGAATTTGGGAACGTTTTATCTTGGGCTTTAATTAAGGGTCCTTTAGGGAATTTGGAGTCGTGTTGCGGGCTTTAAGTTCCTATAGGTAATTTGGGCTTGAGCTCCATGAGGGTCTGGCGGGGTTCCAGAATTTTACGGATACTTGGGCTCCTTTTTTTTTGATACTTGGGCTCCGCGGCTCAAGGCTACCCCTGTTTCCCTTTGGAAGACACGTGGCCGAGGGCCTTCTGGAGAAAGTTTAGGAGTTGAGTCTTCAGGGTTCACCCTAAACCCTAAACCCTATAACCTTATAAACCAAATAAGCCCTATAAATAAACCCTATAAGCCCCATAAACCCTATAAACCCTAACCCTATAAACCCTGTAAACCCCTAAAAACCCTATTAACCCTATAAGCCCTACGAACCCTATAAACCCTGCAAACCCTATAAACCCCATAAACCCTAGACCCTATAACCCTAAAGTCGGAGTGTAGGATGTTTGGGTTAAGGCTTTGGGAGCTCCGAGTCTTGCCTCCGTCCCCGGCCCACTAACTCCCCGACAATCAGAAGAGAACTCCCTACACAACTGCCTGGTTCTTAGTAGGGACTGGGGGAATGGATCCCTATAGTAGTCCCTATAAAATCCTCAATAACAATCTCGATAATCCATACTCCGACATGCTGGATCACGGATTGAAGGAGTGGATTCGGGTTTCAGGTTTGCGATAGACTATCCGTGGGAATCACGAACCCGTAGCAGATACGGCTCTCACTGAGCAAATCTCATGTGACGGGGGCAAGTGAGCTCTACATAGGCATGCAAAACACGACTGTGAGCCTTCAACACGAACCCTCAAAGCCTAAGTCCCCACGCACCACTGCATGAACCAATGGATGTGATGAATAACTAGGCCTAGGCCTAAACCCTCCGACATTGGCTGCGAAATTCAAAGCCCCTGGAGATATGGATTCAGCCTTGCACGTTGAAGCCTAGAGTCTCGCAACCCTCCGACAGATTTTCCTATGCAACCTGCCGGATTTAGGACAGAGCCCTGGTGGCCCTAGTGACTAGTGCTTAACGTTTCAATTCGAAACCCTCATCCCTTGCCCGATCATCTCAACACCCGACGGCACGCTTTCTTCGCTAGCCAGGGTTGTCTTTAAGGTCCCGCATGTTGAAGAATGGCAGGTCCTGGTCAAGGATGCTCGGTTTAAGAACTGCGGTTTCGAACAGAAACCCTCAACCCTTTACCCTACGCCTTAACTGTCTCGTTCTTAGTAGGGAATGGGGGCCAATATAATCATTCAATAATGGTCCCCATAACCCATTCCCCCATTCCCTACTAACAACCAGACAGTTAAACCCTAACAGCTCCTCCCTTGGTTTAGGCGTTTATATGTGGGGTGGTCGGGTTTAAGTGTTTGGAGGCCTTCGGGGCTTCCGGCGTACAGTGTTTGCTTTTTCGGGTTTTTAGAGTTGTGGTTTTAGGGCTTGGGCTCGGGGTTTAGGGTTCAGGGTTTAGGCTTTAGGGTTTAGGGTTCAGGGTTCAGGGTTTAGGGTTTAAGGTTCAGGGTTTAGGGGTTTAGGGATTCAGGGTTTAGGGGTTTTCTTTCAGGGCACCAAGGATTACGCCTGTACTCAGCGAAGGCCTTCTCGTGCACACTGTCGAAGATGCGAGTGCCAAGGCCATCGTAGCCGAACGCGTTCGCCCGGTACCAGTTCGACACGCAGTGTGCTCCCTGCCGGCTCTGCTGCCGGCTTCTCGGCCAATTTGTTCTCCAGCTGCTTCAGCCTCGCTTTGAGCGTGAACACCTCCGTGTGGAGATTTCCATTCTCAGTCCTCTTTTCCTGTTTTCCTGGAGGGACTTTCGGAGGTCCTGGTGCTCGCGGAGCACACTGTCGAACTGGCCAAGAAGTTGGACCCTCGCACTGGTGTATCACGTCGGCACAGCGATGCTCTTCACCGAAGGCACTTGCGCCAGTGCGTGCTACGAACCTGTCCTGCAATGTTGCAGATGAGGGTTGCATGTCGGACTCCTCAGAATGCGCTGGGACCGAAACCTCCCTCACTCAGTTCATGGGCACCAATTGGGGTGTAGGGTTTAGAGATCAGGGTTTCTTTTTTTGAGGACCGGGTTTAGAGTTTAGGGCTCAGGGTTGAGAGTTTAGGCTTTTGAGCTACCATTCCCCGCACATCAGGCCGCTGCACAGATAAATGCGGGGACCTGAAACTCCAAACCGTAAACCCTGAATACGAAACCCCAAAGAACCCCTAAATCCCGAACCCCTAAACACCGGAACCCCAAAACCCCTTATAGATCCCATCCCCAAACTCCAGGAATCAAAACCCCAAAGTCTATAACCCCGAAGCCCTACGCCCCTACGCCCTAAACTCCGAATCCTCAGCCTCGTACTCCTTCACCTCAAAGCCGGGTGGCCTTGTTCTCGTTGCAACTCTTCAAGAGAGCCATCGCGTCCAAATCGCGCGGGTTGATCACCTCGGGCAGGGCATGGAGCTTGCAAGGCTTACTTTTCAGTTGAAGGGTGCTGGGCCCTAGTCTTCTGCTTGGCTTGTATGTTGTTGTCCTTGCCTGGAGGCGTAGGCTTCTAGTGGCGAGAGAAAACGAAACAAAAGGCGCTAGCAGCCTCTGAAGGCAAAAGGCAACTGATCTGCTGTTTGGAACAGACATGTACTTTTAGAAGTAAATCCAAGACCCCAACCAGAAACCCTCCATCCTGAACCGTTCCTCCTCAACCCTTCACTTTATTAACTGAGAAGATGGTGTTGGGGCATATTACAGTGTCAGTATGAGTACATGTGGACGGAACAGGAACTTTTATCTATTCGACTACTAGGAGGATGATGGGACTTAGTAAGTAAGGTTGTAAGTACCTTAACTGGGGTTATAAGTATAGTTACCCTGATTATCACCCTAGTTGCTAAGTCCCATGACCCTTTAAGTATACTCGAAACCCTAAACCCTGGAAGTGGCCTTGATGGGAGGGCCGAGGTGATCCACATCGATGGTTGGCTCCCCTTGCACCTGGGCGGATTGAACCGCGAGAGCAGGAGAGTTAGGGGTTTTCTATCATCCCCTTCTCGGAGGTGAGTTGAAGACGTCAAACCTTCATCGATAGAGGGTTTTCTACAGGCTCTTTACAAAGCTTTTAATTGGCTCTGAAATGTGTAGATAGTGTTGTGCTAGGTGCCTTGGCGCGGATGTAAAGGCTCTAAGTTTAGGCGTAAAGGGGGGGGACTTACCGGTTTAGGGTGTAGTGTTGTATTTTGGTTGTGGTGATGACGGCGCAGAATAACCTTTCTTGCCTGGGCGCAGATGATTACTATACAACCTATACTATTTTGGGGGGCTCCTTATTGGAATAATTACATGGGGTGGGCCCCAAATCCTATTCTGATGATTTTTAAGGCCCTACTCCAAACCCTTTTAGGAACCCTTATAGTAGTCCTTATAGACCCCTTTTCAAGGAACCCTTTAAAGGATAAGGATATCGGATGAAGTGGGAATCTCGTCTTGTGCACTAATCCTCCAAAACCCTAAACCTTCCCTTGCGCCCCGAAACGCCAAACCCTAACCCCTACACCTTTGGGTGTAGGGTTTGGTTGAAAATTAAGAGG